CTGTGCACCATTCCTGCTGCCTTCTCTGGCTGCCAGCACAGCCAGCCTGTTCTCAGGTGGTCCCAGGCAAAGAAAAGGCAGTAGGGACGGTGCACAGGGTGCTGGAAATGCGCCAAGCCTGAGCTTCCCTGATCACACCTGGGCTTCCAGCATCCTCTTGGATCCAGTGGATGCTGCCTGAGAGCTGGGGCTGCACCTATGCATCTAGCACCCTGCCCAGGCAGCCCCGGGGGACACTGCCACCATGGAGGGAAGCACTGGGCCTCCCCCGCCCCGCCCCAACCTGGTGGTTGCACAGGCAGGCTCTGCCAAGCAGGGGGGGGCATCAAGGGGCCTGATGGTTTGTGTTTGTTTTTGTTTTTTCTTCCAGAGCCTGCCTGCATCTTCCACAGCTAGGGAGCAAGCTGCCAGCAGGTCACATGGCCCCTAAGCTGCAGGGGACCCGGGTGCTTACCTCCGTGGCAATGGTGCCCCAGTGGCACCCCGCCCTGGCAGTCCTGGGGGGCACCGCCCTCATGGAAGGAAGCACTGGAGCCCCCCACAGCTTGGGGCCCACTGGCAGCCCACCCTCTGGCCACAGGAAAGGCAGGCAGGCTTGAGGGGTGGGGGCGGGAGGAGGATTGGTCCCCCACCACTGCCCCTCCAGCAAAGCCTGCCCACTCCGCAGCAGGGGGCCCTATAGCTTCATTCTAGCTCTGACTTGCCTGCATATCTGTTTGAAATGCCTTGGGTTCTATAATAAGATACTTATTCCATCTGTCTGGAGCACTGTGATTGGTTGTTTCAGTAAGCATTGTGACCAGTTGCCAAGACAACCAATCATGGTGCTCTAGACAGACAGTAAGCCTATTACTATTGTTATAGATAGATAGATATAATATATGTGTGTGTGTGTACACACACACACTTTATTTTTTTGTATACTTAAAACCAGTATTTTAACAAAGTTTTCTACAGGCTTTTTTCATAAAAATAGATATGGTGCAGTTTGTATCTGTAAAGATCCTGGTTTTTGGTATTTGCTTAATGTCAAAAGCTGTTGTGTGTTGTTACTATGACAGTGGTTCAGCTTTTTCCAAGTTATATAATTAAGGAATTTTCAGCTTGTATTTTTAATAAATTCATTTAATTTCTTGTCACTTCAGCTGCATCCATGCTGAAGTAAGTATATCAGATGATAAAGGTAAACCAGAAGGGGTCTAATAAGTTCTTTTACTTAATAGTAAAACCATCCATATGAGCTGTGAATGGATTTTGTAATAAAACTGCTTGGATAGATCAAGTAGTAGTGTTTCACCTCTATTTTATGGTTGGTCACAGTAGATCTTGAGCAAATGGCCTGCTGGAGCTACAGTTGCATTAAATGACTAGCCATTGTACCTGCTGAACTAGGGTGCAAAGGTGACAGCAGGTATACTGTTTATTCCGTTTAGATACATATTATTAGTTCATTATTTCACAGATATGCTAAACTGATGTAGCCATGCTCTAAATCACCAAGATGATCATTGTTCTGTGTGCATTAATTGTCTCAGCTAATCAGATGTATTCCTCTTAATTCAGGTTTTGAAGGTTGGTGTGGTGTGTGCTAATCGTACACGGGTTTATCATAAACTCAAACACTTTAAATACAAGTTGTATCTACTCTGCTGTTCTAAAACAGAGCTGGAGGATGTTGAGGATGAATCAGTCAAAGATACAGTGGAAAGGCTTTTCAATCAGTTGAAAGAAAGTGGCTGGATTCAAAAGGTATGATGGGATATGTGAGCACGTTAGGGTGGTTTCCATCAACGGAGGTAAAAAAAAAAAATACGTAAATTTGGTGGGCTACTGAAGTACGTGGAAGGTAAAAAAATATCTTCAACCATGCAAGAAATGCAGTCACTTCCTATAAAAAGCAGTTCCCTTCTTAAAAGCAAATATGACTTGCAAAACAAACATGCTTCCTGTGGGCAGAGAGAAGTTGTATACACATATTAGTCTGAAGTCAGATGGAGGACAAGGTAGTCTTTCTACAAAAAGTGAGACAGTGCACCTTAGACCAGCCGAACCAAAGAGATGCTGTGGCTCATAAAAACGTATATCTCTCTGATTCAGTTAGTCTATAAGGTGCACCTTTACCTTGTCTTCTGTCTTGCTTTCTGTGTATATTAATCTCAACTCCAGTTGTTAAAAATATCTTACTGCCTTTAGTCCAGCACCTGTAATTCAGGGAGCTGTTTTCTGTTCTGAAATACTGTCTCCCTTAGTATGAGTGAAACCAGACTTGCTAAGTAAGCTTTTGAAGCTTTCTTTTTAATATCCTGAATCACTGCTGCCACTTGTTTGTGAATGAAACGGAGTAGACAAAGCAGTATACATTTATATTATTCAGCTGTTCTTTGATAACATTATACAATCTTTGCTTTCATACAGGAATATAACAAATTTGAAAGCTATATGGATGCTGCAGACTTATTCCAAGAGGAGAAAATAGACTGAGGATCCATGCATCTCATTTTGAAAGAGGCTTTGTAAATGGCCATGAGCATGAAATATCTCCATGTGATCTTCAAGAGTTTTCTCTGTAGTTTTATATTTTAAATGTAGCTGTTCCAGTAAATTGCTGAAGATATAAAGGAATTTGCTACATTTTCTTCTTATCTCTAATTCTCGATGTTGACTTGCATAACATTTTGCAAACTCAGTCACACTCTGTGCATAGGTTGCATGAACTTCCTTTTGTACTTGCAACCCATCTGAAGAACCTATGCCCTTGTGAAAGAAAACATTTCTGCATTACTGCATTGTAGAGTCCGTTGCAGTGCTGTGCATGAGAGAGAGACTTTCTGGAGAAGTACATATTTATCTCTGAATAATTGAGATCATATCTTCTTATCACATTTCTGTATATTTGTGTTATGAGCATTGAGTCATTAATGTGGTTACAATGAGAGAAACAGAGGAAAGAGTGCTTTTGCCTCTGTATTAAACAGATGAGGTGGGAGTATGTGTGTGGTGGTTAAAGGTGAGTGAATAATTCCTCAAGGCTTATCCAGTAACAGAAATCTGAGAGTGCTGACTTTGGTAGAAGTATGTACAAAGGCTACTGTCTCATGCCTACTAGCTCTCTAGGCTTCATGAAACCCAGCTGCAATTCTTCTTTTTGCCTCTTCCAGGAACTGGGAAAGGCTGAGTGGCCTGTAGTGCTTGGCCCATTTGAAGTATATTTAATGAATCAGACTCTGGAATTTTGGGAGTGAAGAGTATGGGTGTGCAAGAGAAGGCTCAAAGTTGCTCTTCTATTTGAATCTGGATTGAAAGAACCATTTTGAATGGTCTGTCTATTGTACTATACTTATGCATGCCTATCACCTGGGAAAATTAGTGACCTAATGGCTGATGAGGTTAATCATGCTCTATTATACCAGTAACATAATTCCTCACCAGAAAATTAAAGAAATGAAGCCAACACATTAAAAGGTAATGGGGTTCTAGTCAGGGATACCAACTTCTTCTCCATGTACCTGAATTCTCAATTATATAAAATCCTTTTGTATAAGTTATCAGTGTAAAACGTGTATCTTCTCTTATCTGTACATTACAGTGACTTTCCCAGAGAACCTGTGGCAAGCACCTAGATTCCAGGCACTCCACACTGTCACAACATCTGATCCCATGTCCTGCTTGGCAAATCTGAAAGTTAACTTTTTTTTTTAGTTTCATTTTTCACTGTTCTCAGGGTCCATAAAAATCAATGGAAGGACACTTACTAATTTGATTTGGCTGTTCTGGATCAGGCCTACTGGATTTGGCCTTGAGCATGTCACCTTTGAGAGAGACCAAACCCATTTCTTCTACTCTGAGAGCAACACCTGTGAACCATGCTACACTTTCATTTTTTTGAGATAAAATGGCAGCATTTTTTATAGTGTAGAAAAGAGTTTGTCACACTCTTTGACAAATGGCTTTGAAACAAATGGGCGGGGGTTGTCCCATAATGAAGGCTATCTAGTACCCATACTCATTTAAGCTTTGTATACAAGTGGGGCATTTTCAGGAAAAATGAATATGCTTTGCACTTTTTACCTTTTTTAATTGCACAAAAATGTGTATTTAATGCAGAATGAGTGAACTTTCCTCTTTTAGGTATATGTCTGCTATTGGATAAAAATTACATAATGGCTGTAATGATTGCTTTGAACCCATTTTTGTATATATGTATATTTTTCTCCCACAAACTAAAAGGGAATAACTTTAAAAAGTGTGTTTCCTTTGTGCAATTTGCAATTGAGGAAGACTGTCCTATAGAAGCAAAACACCAAAATTACTTTTGGTGTGGTGAGAGAACTGTATGGAAAGACCAGATGTACTTCGTGCTGATTCCAAAATATACCTGCCCAGAGGAAGACTGACAGCTGGTGGGTAAAATTCAGAGACAAACTTTAGTGTAATTTACACACTTGTTCTGATTCCTCAGCATCTAGATTATGCTATCTTAAATTCTCACCTACCTTCAGACCTGCAAATTCCAAATGTGTTGCTTTGGAATTTGGCTCTAACCAAAGATAAGCAAAACTAGGCATTGTAGCTGCAGTGGCCTAAGCATTCCTTGCTATATCCCCACAGAGTAGTGACACACATCTTTCTTAATGGAGCACTCTTTAAGGCAGTGATTCTCAATCTTTTTAAACTCGAGACACCCCTTGGAAAAGGCCAGCTCTTAGTTTCACTAATTTTTTGACCACCAAAAAAAATTCTGTTGCAAAGAACTTGGACCATACCAGATCAGAATGTTTTTAATACCTTGAATTCCTGTTTGAAATCTCTGTTTATCTTGGGAATCATTTGCACACCTAAGCACTAACATTGCATAGAGATATCAAGGCATACCAGAGTGCTGTGGCACCCTGATTGAAACTAACTGGTTTAGTGGTGATGGAGATAAGAGAGGACTTTCTCCAGTTTGGAAAAAGCCTAGATTTAAATAATCTATCAGAGAAAGTCCCTGTTGGAGATGCACTTAAATGGGAAAGTTTCCCTAGTGAAATGTTGCTATTTGGAAGAGAGGGAACTGGGTGAACAGGTGACTTTACAGAAGTGGTATTTCAGTCCTAGGTGCACTCTCTCCAAGGGGTGTAATATAGGCATTACAGTTTTGCTTGGGGCATCTTCCTGCCAGTTTCATCTCTGCAGCAAAGGAGGATTCTCACAGGCTTAAACATTGTCTGAAACAGATAAGTTGTGTTACTTTCTCTAGATAACAGGGGATTTATAATGCTTTTAAAATGCTTTCTATATTTTTGTGTTCATATTTTAATTAAATTGATTACTGAAAATAAAATGTGTGTAACAATAAAAAATAAATAGAAGACAATTGCATGGTTCTTGTGGTAACACTAGCATGCACACATTGGGAACATGCATGTTTCCATTAGCATTTCAACTGGTAGAGGCCTGAACAGATAAAGTTTGGATTGTGGGATTATTGCTAAGAGAAGCTTCCCTTGTTCATTTCTTAAACATTTTGCATTTAATTTTGCAACTTGTATGGTGCGTTAAAGTTTATATTAAACATCTTTGTAAATTAAGAAAACAATAAAGGCCCTGTGCTCAGTTGTTGTTATGGTAGGAGGTACTAGCTGGGCTGTTACACAATGTTATAAGTTCTTCTAACATAAAAGCACTAGAGTCTGTGAAGAGTCCCCCTATTTTGCAATGCAAGTACTTGGGGTGAAGCTGCTGCAAGCAGTTGGTGATTATTTTTCTGCTTCAATCAAACTGGAGTAAACACTTGGGGGAAAAATTTTATGGGAACTGGGCATTAGTGTTCGGGCTAAGGTTTGCAACGGGGCACTGACCATGTCTGTTTGAAGGACAGAAACAGGCCCATAACTTGGTATTGAGATGGGTTGGGCTTCTGACTGGAAGCTCATGGTTTGCATGTGGCCTGTGAGCAGTTAATATGTGGTGCTTGGGCCCCAGTGGCTGCGTCGTTACTGCAGTCATTTAGTACTTGTATAAACAAGTACTAAATGACTGTACAGTAATGACTCCGCAGTCAGCATCTCGTGTAAACTTAGGCACTAGGGCCCAGAGTTACTGTGCAGTTGTGCTAAGGAACAGCTTTTTTGTGATGCTCACTGCGGAGTACCTTGTTACTACTGCACAGTAATGTTGCATCTCATTTCCTGCCACGTAACGCTACTATGCAGGAGTCACAGACTACTGCACAGTCAGCGTCTTGTAGATGCAGCTAGTAGCTGCCTCTCCTGCTGCCATACAGTGGAGTGGGCCCAGGAGTCTGCACATTACAGTCTGTGTAGGGGGACCACATGCCACCAGCACAACTTGCACAACAGGAGGGATCACATGCTGCCACTGGAGTGCAGGGGACCCATATGTTGCTGATACAGCTCAGGGGGAGGGGAAGAGATCCGAGGAGCTGCACACCAGCACTGTGCAACCCCTAGCCTGCTGAAGTTGCACAGCCCTGAGCTAGGGTATATTTTTAGAAAGTAGAAATTTAAAGTGATGGAAAATTAACCTTGGGAAGTGATTCCAAATATTTAATTACCCTTACTGTTTAAAATGTGTTCCTTATCTTTAGCCTAAATGTAACTGTTCAGGTTCCAGCCATTGCTGTTTGCCATGCCTTTGCTAAATTAAAAACCTTTTGCTGTATGAGATCATCTCAGCTACGCAGGATTGTCACCTGCCGGCCTTTTCTTGAATAAGCTAAAAAGGTTGAGCTTCCAGAGTCTGTCACTGCGAGGTGCATTTTTTAAGACCTCAATTCATTTTTGTGACTCTTTTCTGAACCCCTTTCAACATCCTGTTTTTTTCAGTGGACAGACGAGGACATGTAGTTCTAGTCAGGGCCTTACTGATGTATCTTACCAACTCTCAGCCACAGCAATGCAAATTGCAAGTTACACTAAGGAAAAACCAACATTTGGCATAATTGATTTATCCTCCACTGGGAAACTGCAATATGAAGCCCCAACATCTGCTATGGCTTGGCAGAGAGGTGACATAAATGATAGTATTTACATAGTCTCAATTCTTGCTTCACCAAGTTAAATCAGGTGGACGTAGCTTCACTGCTGCCTTTTTGTTCACCTAGAGAGAGCTCTCACAAAGCAGGCTACATAGTGTAGCAGTACCTCTTCACAGGGTGATAGCTGAACCTTTGCCAGGGAGAGAGACCTGTTTAGAAGGTGATGAAGAATTGTAGATTGTATACTCTTTCAAGCAGGGGCTATTTGCTGTATATTTATACAGCCCTTAGCACAAAGGGACTGTAACTTGGCAGAGGCCTCAAGGCACTATTACAATAATAATAATAATACGATTAGCAGAAGAATACTGTGAAATTCTGTGAACAGCAGGAGAAGAATCCTGAAATCAGATTATTCTATTCATTTTGTGCCTGCTGTCCCCAAAGGTGAGGCAGCCTTGAGGAAGGAAAATACTGTTTTGTTTTGTTTTTTGCTGTCTGAGACTCTTAGAAGCAGCCACCATGGAAATTTCCTGAGCAGTAACCCTGCTTAAGGAGGAATGATCCCCTCAAAGCAATGAAGGGGAGAGTGTTTTATTAGGCTTAGATTACTAATGGTCAGAAGTTGTCATCTTTTAACTATTTACCCCAAGCTTAAGACTTAAATTAGAGGTGGCAGAGGGCTGGTCCCTGAACCAGCTTAGGCTCATGGCTCCTCCCTGCTTGCCCTGTGGCCCCCCCCACAGTGCCACAGAGCACTGCAGGTGAACATCCCAGGCACTGCATGGGCAGCTGGTCCAGTGCCGCTAAAGAGGAGAAACACCATGGACAGGATTATAGGGCTCTATGGGCCCGATCCAGCCTGCAGGGCATGTTTAACATTCCTGATGTAAACCATCATTTCAGTTGGATTTGGCCCTTGGCTACCAGACAGATTACAACCCTGCAAATATGCAAGAAAAGTTATATGCAAGATTAGTGTTCAGTGACTTTAATGCAGGAGAGCTTGCAAGTTCAAGGACTTAGGATATGCCAAGTTTGGGCTGTGGGTATCTTATTCTGCTGACATTCCATCCATCTGTCCCTCATATTTCCTGTCTTTCTGAATTGTGAATCAAATTATTTTCTTTATTTTATGAGGATAAAAACCAAAAAACTAGGGCTGAGATGTAGTGAATTTCATTAAAGTGAATGAGATGTAATATTATTTTGATTGATGATGAGGGCATCTGCTGCCAAAAAGCAGTTGCTTCCAGTATATCAGAAGGCATTCACATGCTTAACTTTACTAGTTTACTTTTATTTGAATAAACAACAGCATGCAGTTCTAGGCTTCTTTTAGTCCTGATTAAACAGTGTGTATGTATTAGATAAACACACATCAATTTGGTATCCAGCACACACAAAGAGCCAGTGTGCGCACACATTTTATAAATTTGATATACCATTTATTTTGTTGATTTTTTAAAAAATTGAAGAATAGTCATTTATTAGCTAAATTTCCCACACCCAGCACTGGGAAGATTGGTACTGCTGCTGGCCCCAGCCGGCAGCAGCAGCCTCCTGTGATCCGACAGGCAGGTTGGGGGCCCACACCCTCAGGAGGAGTCCGGCACAGCCTCTGCAGCCTTCTCAGGGGTGTGGGCCCCCAATCTGCCTGCTGGATGAGAAGAGGCTGCTTCTGCCACCTGGGACTGGCACTGGACGCAGCCCGCACCCAGCACTGGGAAGACTGGTGCTGCCGATGGCCCTAGCTGGCAGCAGCAGCCTCCTGTCATCCAGCAGGCAGATCGGGGGCCCACCCACACCCCTGGGAGGGCTGCAGGAGCTGTTGGACTCCTCCTGGTGGTGCAGACCCCCAACCTGTCTTCAATCTGTCTTCCAGATCATAGGAGGCTTCTCCTGCTGTCTAGAACCGGCGGCAGCACCAATCTTCCTGGTGC